CCCGCCACATTTTAATTTGGCGTGGTCAGAGAACCTGAGCTACTCGTTGGCTCTCTGTGGACATCATATTTAGCTATCGCTTGCCTCAGTGCTTTTGGCAGCAAATTTGAGATTTTCTTTACTGTACATTTTGTAATGATTTCCCTAATTCACACTACAAATCAATCGTGTTTTGTTTTCGGATTCCTATCGATTTTGGCTGCGCGCCTCTCAATTGCGATTTAATTGACATACAGTGTTCACTAGCCACTGGATGACCTCTAGCTCTTGTCTTAGCACAGTTACATCCAGCTTCAGGAAGTCTCTCCTGTATTTGTGTGGCATCGGAGTAGGGTGGAGCCGGATTAGGAACTTAAGTGACTAATCCTCAATAGGTTTATTCAACGTGGGGAACCGGGGCATTAATGTCTGGTCATCCATTAGCATATCAGGTAATAAACCCGTGATTCGATAGATGTCTGTGCGGGTTTTGAGACCCGTGAACTAAGGATGATCAACGGCAGTCTACTTGAATCCTTAATTAGTTTATAGTACTGCAAGAAATCGATTCTCAGTATTCATGTAGGAGCCTTCGCAAAAAAGAAACCTCCCCTGATACCGTCGTTGCCCTCTCAGATTAACCATTGGTTGACTTGTTCCAATGGTGTGAATGAGAGTGATATTCGTAGCCTATTGCGGAATAAGCGTATCTCCTGACTTACTGCAACCAACAGGAAAAATGGAAGGGGGTTCCTGTATCCACGAAAAACCTATTGTTCGTGTTTTGGTCACGTACGAGAAGCAGACGGCCAACCTGAGGAGGCGGTCCGGCGATTACGACCTCCGGTTCGCTCTTTTCCTGACTCGTATGTGCAAGGTTTCCTGTGCCTGTGGGCTCATGGCCGATGGCTACGGTGGAACCAGCAGTAACCATCGATCAGATCATTCGGGGACTTGGTTGGTTGGTGCGACTGTGGACAAACGTTGGCAGGGTGTGCTACCCACTCCAGCTTCGGATTAACCCGATATGGTTTCGGAGTGGTCACCATGACTCGCTTCTTGAGGGATAAGCGCCGGTGTGTGTATTGTGTCAGCGACCGTGAAGGTAGAATCGAATGCCAAAGACCATTGCGCTGCTGCCACATTGTCGGTAAACTGGTTTCTTGGCAGCGAAGAGGAGGAAGAGGGTTCATAAGACGTTCATTACAGATTAAGTTATACCCCAAACCACTTGAACCTTTTTCCTCTTTTATTTTAATTTTATTTCACTGAATGACTTCTGCGCACTTATAACCCATCTTCACAGGATAAACTGAAGAACGCCAACACACCCCCAACAGAGGAAGCTAGGTGGAGACATCTCCTAGGGTTTGGTAAAGTAAGACGAACCCTAAATCATACGGGTAACAGGTGCAAATGGTAGCGCTTGCTCGCTGACCAGCCCTGTAAACAGGGAGTGAGCCATTTTTATGGCTCACAAGGGGTTTCAGCTACAAACTTTTGTGCTGCCCCTGACTACGACAACAATGAGAAACACCAATGGTAAACTACCATTCTAACCCTGTACGCAATACCATCGGGCTTTTTAGCCCTCCCTAGCTAAAGAGTGTTGCCTAATATACCTGAGCTTACCCAACCGTGGGGTGATCGGGTTCAACGTTAAATCCTGTCCTAATTTTCTTCTTTCATTCCCCTAGTTATAAATAATTATGGCTGGGATTCCAGTCATTTTGATTTAAAACTCTATAGTTTGTCTGCTCTCTTTATTTGATTCTTTATTTGATTGTTTGCGATAACCAATATGCCCCTCAGATTACTCGTACTCGATGCTCCTCTTTAAACCAGATTTCCACAATGAAGCATCCGGTCGCCTGATGCTGAGGCTTATGTCATGCCAGGTGTCTTTGATGAAATTTTTTTTCCATATATGGAAAAAAATAACGGCTATAGCCGTTATTTTGCTAATCTCGGAAATTAGCAAATAAAGCAAATAATTTACCCATATTATGC